TCGAATAAATCACTTGCGTCTGTTGCTCCAATGCTACAATATTCTCCGCAACAAGGGTTTAACTGGCAGGTAAAAACTTTATATTTCTCTTGATAACTTTGGATTATCTAGCTTTATGAGTTAAACATCTCTTTATTTCATCCCAAGCCCATAGTAGAAAATTTACTACGTTAGGACTCTACAGACTGCTACTGGTTTCGCCTTCTCTTTTAAGCCCTCACCATGCTTACTTCTGACTTTAGTTTCTTGGATTTTTTTTACATCTATAAGGATTCTCCTTAAAACACTTGTGATCTGTGTCTTTTCCCAAACATTATCACCATTTTATGAAAATTCAAAACAATTTTAGGATTCAACCGGGCTTCAGCCTAATAGTAACGCATCCAACAATCCACCACCATCCTCACAAAAAAGAGTCACGGCTACAGTTGCCCCTGGTTTGCGGCGTCAATACGAAGACAATAGCCAATGGCTTGAATCAACTACAGACTCCAATTCCCCTATTACCCAAATGCAACGTTTTAGCATTTCAAATACTCCACAAAACGAGGTTTTATTGCAACAACAAGCTTTTAGACAACAACAAACAAAACAACAAAATGTTTGGCCTACAGACACAGGGCAGTCAACAACAAGAAGTGTTCCTTTTAACCCTTCTATTCCTCAACAACAACTAAAACATCCTTCTTCCTATTTTTATAATAGAAACACAACAAACGAGGATTTAATGTTGTCAACAACATATAATTCCATACCCAGTCCAGATGTTTCTAAACATTTGCAACAACAACAAACATTTTACTCTCCCCAACATTCAAACGAACTAGGGACAACAGTAGCAACAAATGTTCAAAATGTCATTCCTGTTGATAATAGAGTTAAATCAAAATGGACAACTGAACAACAACAGAATGAAGGATTTGCTCTAGATAATTCTATTATGCCTGTTGCTGCTGATTATACTGTTGAAAATACACCTGTTCAACAATATCGTCATTATGGTTCTTCTTTTACATTATCTATAGCGTAGGACCAAACATGGGGGTGGTGTCAAGAACTCTTGGGCTTGAGGATTTTAAAAAAATTATTAAAAATATTTTTAGGTTATCACCCAAAATTCTATTATCAAAATCAACCAACTCATTCAGACTCAACTGTCTCTTTTGTGCCTACAGCAGAAACATCGTTTTCAGGCTATCCCCAACATTGTCATTCACAACAACAGCAACAACAAAACTTTCAACAAAAACAGCAACAAAACAAGCAACAAAACAGACAACATGTATATCATAATAATCAAATGCTTCCATCTCTTTTGTCACCAGAAACATCGCCTTTGCAAACAAACAATGTTGTTCCTTCTAATTATACTCCTCAACAACATCAAAAGCAACAACAAAGACAACAAGAATATCACCAACAACAATATCAACAAACACACCCTTTTTCTGTTATTGCAAACACACAACAACATTATGATGTTTACCAACATCAGCACCATTTAATGTTCGGTCAAAATTATCAACATTATAACCAACAAATGGGAGGACAACATTCACAATCACAACAATCCCAACAATGTTTTCCTAAAAACAATATTCCTAAAAACAATGTTTCTAGACAACAAAATGTTGGAGTCAATTACAACAATTATCCAACCCAACAACACTATTCCCAACAAAAACATCAACAGCAACATTTGGAAGGAAGAGGGATGTTTGAACAAACATCCTTTAATTACCAACAACAACAATGTTCGAATTACCAACAACAAAAACATCAACACGCCTTGCCATTACAACATCAACAACAACATTTTGACTCTACTCAACAACAACAAATGTTGCCTCAACAACAAACAATGGTTAAAATAATTTTTATTATTTCTCCAAACATTTAACAAACATTCCCAAACATTTTATATACATAAAAACATAATAAATAAATGTTTTTAAGGTTTGCCAACAGCAACAATTACCACCACAAAATTTACCTTCTATTGACGATGAGGATTTGGATGAAGAAGCTAGTAGTCTTATAAGTGATTTGCAAATTAGCAAACAACAGAGATAGGATTGTTTAAAAATATGAGAAATAAATTATTTTGTTTATTGAGGGGATTTTTAAATAATTTTTAAAAAAATTTTTTCATTTCATTCCCTTAGAATAATTTTTCTAAAATATTTTCTCCACCCACAAAAAATTTTTTTGGATAGAGAATGAGAATCAGAAAAAATTAATTTTTGAATATTTTCCTTTCCCTCTTAATGTAAATAAATAATAATTATTAAAAAATACTCTAATTATAAAAATTAATTTTATTTTAAGAGAATTTTGGGCATTTTAAATTTTATTTTTTGAAAACCTGAGAAAAGTTAGAAAAATTCGAAAAAAATTTTTTTTGAATTGAATTTAAATATTATGTTTAAAATGCCCAACTTTTAAATATGTTATTATTGTTTCTATGCCCTTTTCAATGTGCAAAACCATTAAATATCCGGTTTGCGCCGCACTTCACCACGCGTCAAAAAATTTAAATTTTTAACGGGCCATGATTTTATATTTTTTTCTAAAAATTTCAAAAAGTCCATTAAATTTCTAGAAAAAAATTTTTTTATTAAATTTTGTTTTAAAAAATGGACTTTTGTTTGTTTAAATATTTCTTCATATATTTTTATTAATAAATGATTTTTTAATTAAATATTTTCAAAAATTTTTGTGTTTATTTTTCCATTTATTTTTTTCAAGTTTATTTTTTATTTTTAAATATCTAAATTGTTTTATTTACCGACAGATGGTAACGTTTTGTCATCTTTCAGATTCCCGAAAATAAATTAGAAATTTTGGGAATTGAGCGGCTTGGAATATTAAATAAATTCCATCCATATACCGCATTTTCTCTAATTGAAAGGCCAACTCTTTTTAAACCTCTCTTCGCAAAGGACTGCTCTAATGGATATCAGAAATGGGAAGATTGTGAAAAAATTTGTATCGGATTTCGATTCAAAAAAGTCTGGACTCGTCCCATCACTAAAGACAAGGCCGTTCTAGAGAAAATTCTTCAGACCACTGTATTTACTTAAAATTTGTTTTGAAATCAACTCCTTTTTTAAGATTAGTAGAAGATAGATAAGTTTATAGAAAAGGGTTTTTCTTAGGTCAAAAATTCTGAACTTTAAATTAAAAATATAAAAAATATAATACAATTGGGAAACAACAAAAAAATTTTTTGAGGAAAGCAGCAAAAAAATTAAATTTTAATTAGCAAAAAAATAGGAAATTAAAAAATGTTTTTGGAAAATAGGAAGAAAATTGTGAATTTAAAAATATTTTTTTAGAAAAAATTTTTTTTTGGTTTATAAAAAATGTAAATTAAGTGTACAAGCATATAAAGCATAAAATGAAAAAGTCAATTTGTATATCAAAAAAATAATATAATAGAAAGGAAATTTTGGGATTTATGTCTTATGTAGATCTAAAATCAAAATTACATAAGTAAACAGATTTATATTTAAAAATTAAGATCGAAAATTAAAAAAACGGGTACACCCTGAGTATAACGCCGAGCAATAATTTCGTTCAGAAATGTCAAATCTGAGACGTTCTGGCATGGTTTGATTCAGCTCGTCGAGACGCATCGAACCATACTAGGATACCCCTGATTTGACAATTTTAAACAAAGTTAAAGATCGGCGGTATACTGGGCTCGCGGTATCTCGGCCTCTCCCTTAAAACACTGATTTCCTTAAAATTTCACGCCATAAGACTTGTATTTGGTCAAAAACCGAATGCTTTATTCTAAACTTGATTTGAACAACCCTACAAAAAACATAGAGATATCTTTGCCCTTCTATTAAATTTATCAATATAGAGAATGTGAAAAGAGGCAGAATTAAACAATCGCTAGGGAAATATTTTTCAAGATATTTTAAAGGGGAAATTTAAATTCACAAATTTTATCCGCAAAAGGATTTTAGTCCCAGAACATTTATTTAATCTTTCAAAGCAATTGTTTTCCTTATTAAATAAACATTGAATAAAGTCAATATGTAAATTATTTACTAACAAGGGTTACCATTAAAGAAAATTTTTTTTAATTTCGAATCCAACAAAATTCCAAAAAATAAATTTTTTGTAAAAATTCCTATCGTAACCCTCTCTAAAATTTAAAATATATAAGTAAATACTATTTAAGAAAACAAAATCTTAAAGATCAAAAAACAAAATAATTATTTTTAATTTAATATAGGCCGCATCCTCGCAAATTATTGGCGATTATAACATCTGTTACGGCATCAAATACAAATTGAATGTTTGTGGTGTCGGTAGCACAAGTCATGTGACAATAAATTTCTTTTTTTGTAGAACGATTTTTGGCTTCGAATTGGGCTTGGATGTAGGCGGAAGCTTCGTGGTAGTCGGGACGGCCTTTTGAAAAAAAATTTTTTTTAATTGTTTGAATTTTTTAAAATTTTTGGGCATTTAAAACGAATTATAAAAATTAAAAAAAATCAAAATTTAAATAATAAATTATTTAATATTAAGTAAAAAATTAATTTTTACCGTTATATTCTGGGAAGCAAACAGTGAGTTGAGACTTTTTAACTTTTTCTTCAAATAAATCTTTTTTATTGAGAAATAGAATTATGGACCTTGAAAAGAATTTTTTAAAAATTTAAAATTCAAAAAAATTATTTTTTAATCAAAAACCCACGTATCAGTAAACCACTTATTGTTGCAAATTGAATCAAATAATTTAAGAGACTCGTGCATTCGGTTCTAAATGAAATTAAATAAATTATAAAAAAATTTCTAAAAATTTTTTCGAAATTTTTAAAAGCTTTTATGATTTATTTTCAATTTTTTAAACAATTAAATATTCTCAAAAAAATTAATTTCCCGTGCCGGGAATCGAACCCGGGCCGCGTGGGTGAAAACCACGAATCCTAACCACTAGACCACACGGGAACACACTAGGTTTTCTTAAATAACAAATATCACTAAATAAAATAAATGCTTTCTAAACAATTTACAGTTGTTTCGTCCTCATGCAAGACTTGGTCATACTCAGACATTGCCACACAGAAAATAATTGCTGTAACATCCTAAAAATTTTAAAAATAATTTTTCATATAGAGTACACTCTCTAGTAACCTCAAAACAGTGAATCCATTTTTTCCGTTCAGAACGCTGTCCTCCAACGTCAAATAATTTGAAATTTAGACATTTAAAGGTGAAAAAGACCTAAATTTTGAAAATTTTTTGAAAATTTTTTTGAAAATTTCTAAAAATTTTTAAAATTTCAAAATACAGAAATTATAACACCTCAACAATTCCAGTAGTTTTAACCCTAGTTCTAAGTATATCTTGCTCTGTAGGTTCGTAATTGGGCTGTCCTAAACGTTCCAAATCGTCGAGAAAGCTAAAAAATTGGGGAAGAATAATTCTAAAAAATTTTCAGTCTTCCAACTATTTAGCAGAGTCATTCAATTGATATTCATTTGAACGCGAAAAGCATTCCTCAACACCCGAATCAGTCCACAATCGTTTCATTGCTGCATGCAATTCTTCACTAAAAGGTTCTGTGTCTTCCATACGGGAAACAACGTCCATTACTAATTTGGAGTCTAACTGAAAAATTTTAAAATTATTTTAATATATTTTTGAGTTTATTTAGTTATTAAAAGAATCCCCTTCTATTTTAAGTTAAGAAAAGGCGTGTTATTTTTGAATAGAAATCCTAACCCGAGATTTAAGCACGCCCTTAAATAAAATATAACTGGGGAAAATACAACGATAAGTCCTGCTTATCGAACAATTAAGGAAGAATTTAAATTTGTACAAAAAAATTTTAGAAACATTAATTAATCGTCAATAATATTTTTGTAGATAGGGTACCTTTATATAAAAATCCTCCCACCCCCCGTCAACCTTTAAGTCATTAAAACAAAAACGAAATTAAGAGTCGAGATTTTTCAGTTTTCAAATAAAATTTTGTTAAATTTTCGACGGAAATTGACCAAGAATTATATCTATTGATATATTTTACCTCTCTTTCAGGCAATCCAAAAGGAATAGACAAATTGCCCATAGCTCGTAAAATAGCCACTAAAGACTGGATTGTGTTGCTATAAACTACCGGTTTATACTGTTTGTAGTCCTCTGCTGTAAAGCCTGACTCGTGGATAATTCTTGAAAAAAATTAAAAAATTAAAGAAAATTTTTTAAATATTTTTTTAACTTCATTTGTTTCACAATTGTCGATTTTCCAGATTCTCCAGCACCGAGCAGAAGTAATTTGATGTCCCTGGAGGCCTGAAATAGATATAAAAATAAATAAATTGTAAATATGAAGAATCCAATAAGGGAGTTTTGAAATTTGAATTGAATTTTTAGATTTTTTTCGTTTTCCTTCTATCATTTAAGCAAAAGAGAAATTAATTACATTAATAAAAACGATCATTCACTCTAGCTAGTTTTATTGAAAGAAAAGAGTTTTTAAAGAAAACCTAGTGTGTTCCCGTGTGGTCTAGTGGTTAGGATTCGTGGTTTTCACCCACGCGGCCCGGGTTCGATTCCCGGCACGGGAAATTAATTTTTTTGAGAATATTTAATTGTTTAAAAATTCCAAAATTATTTTTCCTAGGTCTATAAAAATTTTAGAAATTTTTTTGATTCAAGAAAAATAAAAATTTTACGTGAACAAATTCCTCCTTCAGATTCTTCTCTATCATTTTTGATCTCTCCAAGGCCGCCCTCTCCTCTTGACTCATTGTGCAGCCCATTGTTTTGAAACACGCTGTTAATCTCTCCGACTTCAGGATTGAAGGCGTCGTTTTGACAACTTTTTTTGTTGGTTTGTTTTATCGTTTCGAGAGGTAAACGACAACGAATTACTCTTACTCGACGTAAACAGACACGGACAATATTAACTGTTGTTTCTGTAAAATGTGATGATTTTCGATCGAGTTTGTTGTTGTGATTCTGGGCTTCTAAAATGTATAAAATTTAAACAAAAATAGTTTTATGATACATATAACTAGGAAGTTTGGCAACAAAGTTAAAGTGAGACCGTGCGGAATCTGGGTGGAAGGCTGAGGGACAGGGGATGAGAGAAGGAGGGTTTCTAAGTGTAAAATTGAGTAATAGGATTGAAAATCCGTAAAAATTTTAAAGACCTTTTGCTTGTTGTCTATATAAGAAAACTTCGGTTAAGCTTTTATACATATAATTTTAATTATTTCCTAGATATACCCGTAGCTGTTTTTTTCTAGATGTGGTGGGATAACAACAAAGTGTAGCTCATTGTTCTCAGCTTGACAAGGCACGCTGATGAGCTATGATTTTTATATTTTGACCTAAATACAACCAATTTTTAGGGCGATAGAGTGGACAAGGGAGGAATAACGATAATATTCCAAGTCCTTATAACCAAAAATTTTTTTAAATTTAAAAATTTAGAAAAATCACCACAATTTTCTGCAATTGTTGTATCTTTATCTATTTAAATTCCTCTACTTTCCAATTAATTATAAAAACAATTTTTGTCTATACAATAATTAATATTTAACTAATATTGGGGCTTCCGGCCCCTCAGAAATTTGTTTAATTCTGGAATTTTTTCTGACGTTTTAAGACAAATAAAGATTGATTTTTTGTTGTTATTTGAATATTTTTATGAATTTTTAAAAATTTTTTAGACAAAAATGTCTGTAGCAAAATAATAATAAATTTATTAAAAGAGAGAAAGAATAGGGTAATTAGCTAAAAAATAATATTTTTAAATAATTATATATTTAAAATTTTGTAAATAAAAATTATTTTTATTGTAAAAAATAACAAAAAAAAATTTAAAAAATTGTATAGTGAAGGAGGGAAAAATTTAATTATTATTTTTAATGAAAAAGTTTTCTGATTTTTTTCTCACTTTTTTGTAAAAAGTATACACTCTGTTCCAAAATCGTATCTTATTGAGAAGCGTCGAAAATTTTTAAAATTTTTACATAATATATATTTTTATATTTAAAATTTATTTTAAATAAATCTAATTTGTAACAACCTAAAAAAATTTGTATAACCAAAAAAAATAAATTTAAAGTGTTCCATGTTTCGAAACAAAAAAAAATCTTCTAAAATTTAAATAAGTTCAAAAATATCGAAATCAAAAATATCTTTAAAATCTTCGAATCGAAATTTCGAAGCAATTCTTGTTCATAATTATAAAGTCAAGTATTCGCCCCTTTGTTTTATATGTCCTTGATTGAGAGAAAAATCCATGAAAATTTTAATTTTGGATTAATCTTAAAAAGAATATAGATGGCTGGGTATATGTAGCTTTAAACAATTTTGGAGGTTTAATAAAATAATTAAAAATATTTTTGTTTGTTCAAATCTTCTTTCCGGTTCCATCCAAACTTGTTTTGGAGAGAAATTTTACATTTTTCTTAACTTTGGAGGATATTTTCTGAATTTTTTCCTTAAATTTCCGTCTAAAAATTGATTTTATGGAGTAATAAGTAACTAGTGTTAGGCATGGTACAGTAAAGCCGAGGTATTTTTTCCGGTATACCGATAAGTACCGGCCAGAAAGTTTTTTTGATATTTTTGTATTTGAACTGATAGAAGGATATCGGTGGATTTACAGTGATAAGATGAATTCGGTGATAAATCGAGGGATTTATAACGATAAAGGGAAGGCAGAAAAGAAATCGGAAGGTATTAAAAAGTGTTGTGTGATGCCTCAATAATTTTTTTGGAGGCACCACGATAAAAAATAAATCAGGCTCTTAAAAAATGCAAAAATGATTATATAAAGCGTAATAAATAAATAAATAATTAATTAACAACACGTAATTAATTAATTAAATTTCAAAACACAAAAAATAAAAATAACAAACAAGCACACAAAGAATATTAAACACACGAACATTTTTAAAAGAAAAAATAAATTAAAACAACCCATATTTGACAAAAAAAATAAAAATTACGTATTTAAAAAATTTTTTAAAATAAAAAAACGTCAAAAAAATTTTTTTCTATTAAAAAATGCATATAAAAACAAAAAAATATTTTTAAAATAAAAAAGCTAATATTTTTATTTATTTTATTGTACTCCTTTCCAAATAAAAACATTTTTTTCTCTTTCTAATAAAAATTTTCTTATGTTGACATGTATCATGCAATGAGTCAAAAAATAAGAGAAAAAAATGTAATTTAAGGGGGAAATTGTGAAAAAAATTTTTTCTTATAAATAAACAAGGCTTAGGGATGGATTGATTTATTAGTGAAATAAATGAACAGAAAATTTTGTTTTAGAAACATGTTGACATTAAGCCCGTAGGCCCTAAGTGTAAAAATGCGCATCAGAGGTGAATCGGAAATGACGAAGGTGCCGGAAATCGGAACTGTCGGAAATCGGAAATGGCTCAAACTTTGGAAACGGAAGTCGGAAATCAGCATAAATTATGGAAGTCGGAATTCGAATTCCGATTCACCTCTGGTGCGCACGTAGGTCAAAAGCTAAATAGAGAAAAAAAACTAATAAATCTGCTTTTTCCGATTAGTGGTCAATTAAATATCTGCAATTGTGTAGCTGGCAGCTAGGACTTATGGATCCGGTCGAAAAAAGTCGGGATATCCAGAAAAGTTCAACCCAGATATCGGATCCGGATATCCAGGAATGCTCATCCAATCTATGCCCAACTAAATTTTATAAACTGTGTTTGGTATTAGGTTACTTTTTTTAATTAAAAAATTTTTCCTTTAACTAAACTTCTAGAAAAAGTGTTGAAACAAAAAAAGGTTCTCTCATCTTAATAACCTCAAAACATTATTTGGCCACACGGCGGAAGGGAAGAAACCTATCGATGAAGTAAGTGAAATAAAAAAATAATGTAGAAGGGAGGGTTATCCACACAAGAGAAGCACATTAAAATGGGGAAAAAAATATTTTAGATGAGGGAAAGTGAGGGAGGACGAATAAGAAAAAAACAAAAAAAAAATTTTTTGGCCTATATATTTGAAATAATGCCTGAAGGATTTTGGAGAATGAATAGAGAATATTGAAAGAGGGAATGAAAGAAAATAAAAAACAAACATAAAAAAGTTGTTAAAAGGATAGAAAATAATGAAGATGATGAGTAAAATTAAGTTTTATTTGACAAAAAACAAAGAACGACAAAATGACAGGCAAGGTAAAATAGGACAATTTACCTATGCGACAAAATGTCACAGACCCATAAAAATGACAAAATGGCAAAAATCTTAATGCCAAACGTTTTAAAATGTTAATAGGTCGATTTGGTTAAAAATTTGTTAAAAATGCCAAAAATAACATTTTGCCATTTAAGAAAATTTGTCATTGAGCGCTTCCTCAAAGTGTCACATCTCATAATATGATGTGTAAAGTTAAAATGAGGTTAAAAGAACAATGCTGAGAGAGGGAAAAATAAATTTTAAAAAATATTGAGTGAAAAAGCCCTCATTTTTCTGATAACAAAATAAAAGCAAAATTTTTTACAAAAGGTCTTAGTAAAAAAGAGAAAAAGAGAAAAAAGCTAGAGAGAGTACATATTATTTTAAAAGCAATTTATCGATGAATTTGGCCATTTTCTAGCAAAAAAAGCAAAAAAAAAATAAAATGTATTGAGAGAGATGTACCCCCTACTGGTCTGTCAGAGAGAGATATACACTAGATATTTAATGGAGGGATATTAAAGGGAAGGGAAGGAGCATTTCTCGTCCTTGCCACATTGCCAGATGGGGAGGTATATATTTTCTAGTATATTTCTCTCTTAGAGTGTATATATATAAAGGCCGAAGAGGGGTATTAGCAGCAACCGGAAGTCGGAAAAGCCAATAATAAGTGAAGCGGAGAGGAAGCTGATATGTCTCTTTTAAATATTAGGTATGTTTGCCCTCTCTCACCCCACACTAGGTTTGTAAACCCAAAAGATCGAGAGCTTTGGAGATAAAAAAGTAAGATGAGGAGAGGAGGGGGAATTTACAGAAGGTATGGGAAAGTTGAAATTTTTCGGGGCGAGTTTTAGGTCGAAGGAGTCAAAGTTTCTGATTCATCTACACTAACAGGATCTCTTATTTGGAGTGTAGAACAGCAAATAAGAGAAAATCCTCTAAAGTCGCATCTAGTTCAAGACCCCCCATAAGACGACCATTTGGGTTGACTAAACTAATAACAGACATTTCTTATCTAGAGGGTAAGTAGGGAAAAACAGCAAAAATTCTTCAAAATCCCTCAAGTTCAAATCTCCAATATAAGACGATCATTTGGGTAAACCGAGGGTTTGAGTACACTAAAGAGATCTGTTATTTAGAGGGTAAAACAGAGAATATAAAAAATCCCCCATGTTCCCCTAATTCAAGACTTAAGTAGATTACTTGATCCTTTGGATGTTGACCATTTGGGTCTTTAGTATAAACTCAAGGAGAATGAAAAACAAAAAA